CAGGGAGGTGGCCTCCCAATGACTATGGTGCTGTGGCTGCAGTCTCTGTTGGAAGACTATGCCATGCCCTGAGCCATCCTCATGATCATGATCATCTAAAGTAAGCAGGCATGTTGCCTCTCTTGTTTAATGTTAACACCAGTGGTTTGGGTGAGGCTATTTGGGGAAGGAGGAGGCTTCATTGGGGGCCACTGCAGTGTTGGGGACCCCAGCACCAGAGAGGGTGCAGTATTCAGGGGTGAGCTGACCCTAGCACCAGAAAGGGTGCAAAATTTGGGGGTGAGCTGACCCTGGCACTAGAGAGGGTGCAGTATCTGGGGGTGAGCAGACCCCAGCGCCACAGAGGGGCAGGAGGCCCACTGAGGGGGTTTTTTGAGAGCTAGAGCCTGGGAGTCAAACCCTGATTAGTGGGTTTTTTTGACTGACAGGCCTAGAGAGAGAAGGGGTAGGCCCACAGCGGCCAAGACCCCAACATAAAGAGGAATTTACAAATACCATCTGTGAGGCTTGGGCTGCAGTGTAGGGGAGGAACGGAGCCGCAGATAGCGCCCCCTGGCATCGGAGCATACAATGGGCAGCCTCCCGCTTAATTAACAACAATTAATTAACAACAAGGCATGGCAGGAGAGAAGGCTGGCGGCTGGCCCATAACAGGCAGGCAGGGCCACCAGTAGACGGACCCCAAGGAGGCTCCCTTGTTACAGACCCCCCTGTGTTGTAACACAGCTGTGACATGAATTTGGCTTTCAAGAATTTGGGGCATGTTTCCCCCCAAACCCCTGCACAGATCTTATTGAAACTTGGCAGGTCTCACACTCTCAGCAGAGAATACTATCCCTGCAAGTTTCATCCAACTTGGACAAAAAACAACATAGTCATAGATATTTAATTGATTCTCCATTATACCCTATGGCCAGGTCTCCGAGGTGGCTCCAAAGCTTCGGAGCCGCTTCGGCCGGATCGAGGTGGAAACCTGGTCCGGGGCTCCGGATCAGATCATGGCCATCCTAAGCAGCCGGATCTGAAGCTGGATCAGATTGCTACCAACTCGCACAGGCCTAGAGGGGAGTTTGAGTCCACCAAGAGGTGCTTCTGCCTGTGGAAGGAGGAAAAGGAGTTTCTGCTTGTGGAGTGCGAGTGCATTTGCAAGAATGAGGATTTAATTAATCATTTTTCACATGCACCTGAGAGATTTGTGTTTGTTTGTTAAGGGCTGTTTATATATCCAGTGGGGTATGCTGGCTTATAACCACTGGTAGACTAGGAGTCCAGGCTGAAGGGAGGACAGGAGGCTGCAGAGCAGCACACCCTGCCCACTGTGACATTTTCTTCTTTTTGATCATTCTCTCTTTTAGTGAGACACAGGAGCCTGAGTGGGAAAAGGCATCAGAGACTTAACCCAGTCAAAGAATCATAAGATGAACTTTTAAGATCATAGCCCTGGAGACTATTTCAGCAAGGTGTCTCCGGTGAGTGAACCAAGAGAGTGGATTATAAAGGAGACTGGGGAACTGCAGGACAAACCTGCAGGCAAGGCCTTCAGAAGCTACCCTTCACGGGGTCCAGTCCTACATACCAAGATTATAATCTTGCCAAGAATAAAGATTCTGCCAGTGCCTTTAGCTGAGAGCCATGTTATGATCGGTTTATTCCTCTGTAAGTATAAATAATGAGTACCCCAAATTACTGAGACCATAATCTGGTACAGAACATTTTGCTGATGATTTTTGCACTGTTGCAAACTGAGAGATGTTTGGAATAATCATCCATGCTTCTGCATGCTCATGCAAACTAAACCTCTGACAGTTTAGTTCTCAAAGCCAGACTGCTGCCTCTTAATCCATGCACTTCAGGTCTGGTTCATGCGCCTGCCCAAATTGATGGGTACAACATGTTAACCACAATAAAAAAAAATGTCAACAGCTTTCTTTTATATCAAAAAGTCATTTTTGTGGGGTGGGATATTTTAATAACTTTTTTTGACCAGTTCTAGCTATAATGCATGTACTATAAAAATGTAACTTACCAGGGAATTGTTCAGCTGGGAAATTTGGATATACATGGTGCCCAGAACAAACCATGACAGCATCAAATACAGAGGACTCTTCCTTCCTGTCCTTTTCTGTAATAACATCCCACTGGCCAGTGACGGAGAAATCAGGGCATTTTGTTACCTTGATGACCATGGTCTTAAAAGGGAACAAACAAACATAATTTGCATGTTACATACACAGATCTTTAGGCAGATATCTTTGTGAGTGTCCTGGATTCGCTGGAGAGAGCCGAGTGAAATCTTATCCTCATTAAAGTCAATGGAAACTGCACTACTGACTTCAGTGGAGATTTCACTTCTGAAGGGCATGCATAATAACTTAGTGGATAAGATACAATGGTTCATTAAAACTGAAGCTGAATGAGAATGCCCACTTCCTAGGAGATATTAAAAATTCAGTTATTTTCTATTCCAAATCAGAATGAAATTCAAAATTGAATTCTATGAATTATTCTAAAAGTTTGTCTCAGGTTAGTTGATATACTTTAGATAGAATTTAATTAAAATAGTCAAAGGTCTATTACATTTGTTTGAATTTATTCTCTTTTTTCAATATAAATTTTAACATAAAATACATTTAAAAACAAAAGACATTTTGAAATGAAAAACCTAACTGTTCTATTCTGTTGAGAGAGAAGTGGTTCTGCTTTATGTTTTTCTTCAAAATATTTTTCCGTAAAGCAACACATTCCCAGGAATTTGAGAGAGAATATTCTGATTTGTCTAACAGAAGCATTTTCCAGTGGAACTTTTCCAACAAACTTTAGTATATATCAAATCATTTTGCTGTTTCCACTTAGCATTCACTTACTGAACAGAGTCCTTTTGGTGATACAAAGCTGGAAAGTCATTTTTTGGAAACACTGTTTCAATGATGCACCACCACATTGATCTGGGTGACTCTGCAATCAGCAATTTACTTAACAAACTGGTCTTTCAATTTGTAATTTACCCTCAAACAGATTTTGCTTGTTTACATATTTACTGTATTCATAATAAGACATAACTCAGTTAAAGTTTTGTGCAAAAGAAAATTCAGCTTGTGATTGGGAAATGATGCTAATAAATCATTGCACAGGTTATTTGTCATCTAAGTCACCAATATGACTTTGATTGGTTGACAAGCTCTCTCTTTCTCTCTCTCTCTCTCTCTGTTTTTATATAAAAAGAAGAAAGGCTTCAATAGTATTGAATGATCACGCACATACCTCCTGTCTAATTCCTTCACACAAAGAACACCTGGCAGAGAAAAGGCTGACACAGTCTGATGATGTACAATAGTCTGTCCCTTTCCTCTTTGTGAACTACGCACAGACACAGTGACACCTCTACTAGTTATTCAAAATTACTTAATTAGGCCTGATTATGCCATTGTGCAATAAGGCTTGTAAGGGCATAATTCTTTTTCTAAGCCTGCATTGCATTTGCCTGTAATCACAATCACTGTGTTCAGACAGGTGTCTGGCTGCTAAGTAATCCTGAATCAATTCAGCTGAATTTGATTCAGAGATTCAGCCACCACCAAATTGGCCAAATCTCTGAATCAAACAGGCCCCATCCACTGCTCATTCTCCCAGCCTCATCAATGGCCGCCCTGTCTGGCTCCAGTTCCCAGTTCTTTAAAAAAAAAAAAAGCTCCACACTCACTAGCTCCTGCCAGATGGGGCGGCAATCCCTTATGCACCCCACTGCCCTGTGCTGTGTGCGTGGGGGGGGCAATTTGCCACAAGCCCCCAGAATCCCCAAAAGCTGCTGGAGCAGCTGCTGAATGTGGGGCTTTTTTTAAAAAAAAAGCTGTGAGCTGGTGCTGGGCAGGGCAGCCATAGTGGGGCTGGGAGAGCGGGCAGGGGTCAGGGGGTGCTCAGCAGGCTGGAGGTGTAGGCAAGGGATGGGGCCTGGTGGGGGTCCCCCCATGGTCCTCTTCCCCTCCTCAAGCCCCCCCTTACAAGCACAGAGTCCAGGTCCAGCTTCCTGCAGCAGCAAGTGGGGACTGCCCAAATCTCCAAAGTTCTCTGAATCTTTTCTGAATTGATTCGGAGAGCTTCAAATAAATTTGGACCTTTTTATTGGTCTCCTGATTTGATTCAGATTTGGAGATCTGGCTGCTGAATCGGGCTGAATTGCCTCCAAATTGAATCAGCACCCAAAATTTTGCACAGGTCCTACTAAGTACTGCTTATCCAGTAGGAGACATTTTTCTATAGGACAGGAAGTATGTGAAGTCATGGTTCAGAGTCTCCTCATGCTGGATTTTGCATCAATAAGTTCTTACCTTGAACTTTATGTATTTCAAAAGATCAAAGTGTTTGGCAAACATCTTTATGTATTCCTGGAGCTTAGTATTGTGCATGTAATTTGGATAATCATCAGGGAAAGGAAAGTCAGGATAGCACATCATTTCTTTGCAGGAGTTGGTGAACACGGAATGGTAGATGCTGGCTTTGCCCTCCTCTGCCTGTTCCTAAAGAGAAGAACCCACAAAAGTTTACAAAAAACTTCATCACTGAAGGCAGCTGCAAGACTTGCTATAAACAGGGAGAAATTCAGGGCATTGACAAATTACACAGTTATACTGGTGTGATTGTCATTACACCAGGTAGGGAGAGGAAACTGGCTCTCCCAGTTTCAGCCAACCTCTATAGCAAAGCATCCATTGGCCAAAGTCAAGTCATTAATGGTAAATATCCATTACAGTCCTTAGTCCAGTTGGTGTGTATTACAGGCCTTGCCTGCCAAGTCAGATTCACAGAGGCAGTTCATGAATTTTCATAGTAGCCACTTCATAATATTGACCAACAGGTGTAAGCTTTACATAGACTTCCCAAATTACAAACTTCTCAGAACCTATTTCCTCATATGCACAATGCTGAGCTAGTCTGCCAGCCTTCTACCCCTCTCCATATTAAATTTCCCCCTAAAGACCCATTTCTATTATGCTCTCTACAGTGAATCTATTTGGCCATCTTCCTCTGACAGCCCGCTGTTTGTCTTGCTTCTTTAGGCATGGGCAGTCTCTTCTTGAATGCCTGGAAAGTCCTAGTGCATTTTGCTGCTATCTTGAATATTACCTGTTGGTTGATTTGTGTTCTAGACCAGTGGTTTTCAATCTTTTTTTATTTTTGGACCCCTAAAAAATGTCGATGGGGGTGTGGACCCCTTTGGAAATGGAATGCCTGTTCTGGGATCTGAAAATTAATTTTCATTGCCCTCTTTCATGGACCTCTTAGACATAGGCTGTGGACCTCCCAGGGTCTGCAGACCACAGGCTGAAAATCACTGTTGTAGATAAATGCCTTCATTCTAAGGCCTTGGCTGACACAACCACACTCTTCTTAATTGTAAGCCAATGCAAGGTCTGAGCTCAGGTTTTCCTTAATTTGGGTAAGGTGGAACAATGAGAGTTTGAATGTTATACTAAATGCAGGCACACTTTCAAGGCCAAGTTACCAATGGTTCTCAACTGACCAAGGATTATAATTGTAAGGAAGGTGCAGAAAGTCATTGGCTGTGTCCAGACATGGTGCAGACATTTGGTTCCCCAGGGACAACTAGTGTCAGCGCACCTTGCGCTGCTGCTAGTTGTCTCTGGGAAATGGCTGTGCCATGCAGTGCTGGCCCCAGCAGCCTTACCTGGGGTTCTGGGGGCCTCCCAGGGCTGCAGCAGCGGCAACCCTGCCATGCAGAGCCTGGATGGCAGCTGCAGCATAGCTCCAGGCTGCCTGGCTTTGCTTTTGATTGGTGTACACTGCCGGTGTGTGCACCACTCTGCTTTTTTTCTCCACAGGTTTTTTTGATTCAGGGTCAAAAACCGCTTTGTGCTGCTCCCTTGAAGAGCGGAGAACAACTGAACATGCCGTGTCTGCAGCGCCACATGCCACACGGCAATGCTCGTCTGGACGCAGCCATTTTGTTTACTGGTGAAACACAAAGGTCTAATCCTGATTCCGCTGAAAATCAAGACCAAAAATTCAGGTGTTTCCAACAGAGTCAGTGTTTATCTTGAATTGTGTAGGCCAATACAAGGAAAAATAACTGAAAGCAATGGGATGGGATGATAGTTGTAAAGAAAAACATTTGGACTGTAAAACTTGATATGTTTATTCTTGATGACTTTATCTCTCATAGGAAGTGACCTTTGTCATGATGTAGGGGAACACAGACCTTCTCCTCTAAGAGGCATTATCAAAGGAAGAACTAGAAATAACAAAAAATGAACTGGTTTTCATATGGGTTCAATTTAAAGCTTAGGATTCACTAGAGATTAGAAGTGTGTGCATTCATGAGTTTGGTGTCAATTTCTAAAAATCAAAAACAATTTTGTTTCAGGTCAAACCTAATTTGAAATTTTCCATAATTTCTGCTAAAACAAAAAACCATGAAGAATTTTATTGCATTTTATTCAAAATGGTATATTTGTTATCAATCCAATTAGAAACATTTTTTATATTTTGAGTTATTTAAAAACATTGCCAATTTTAAACAATTAAAAAAAGAAATTTAAAATAAAAAAATTCAAATGCATTTAAAACTGTTTAAATGAAGTGCTTTGATTTCATAGAAAACTAGGGCCAGAAAAGAACTCAGGTCATCTAGTCTGACCCCCTGCTCAAAGCAGGACCATCCCCAACTAGATCATCCCAGCCAAGGCTTTGTCTAGCTAGGTCTTAAAAACCTCCAAGAACAGAGATTTCACTACCTCTCTGGATAACCTGTTCCAGTGCTTCACTACCCTCCTGGTGAGGACATTTTCCTAATACCTAACTTAAATTTCCCTTGCTGCAACTTGATGTGGGATGTTTTGCAGGATGTTTTAGGTTTCTCTTTTCAAAATGCATAACTTGACATGAAAAGATGAGGCTTTTTGGTGTTGCAAAATCTACATATTTTGCCTAAACGGTGTGGTTGAAAAATGTCACCCACTTCTACCTGAGGTCACACTCCATCTCAAACTCTGTATAGCCTACAGAGCACCCTAATAACAAATTGCAGTAACCTTTTGGGCTCCTATACATGTGCAGGGAGCTGGCTGTGACATGCTGGAAATTCAGTGCATTGGAGCAGACTTGAATAATCGAGTCTGTTGGAGCAAGGAAATTAACGTGCTCCAGCAGACTCTAGCATTACGTGCATCAGCATCCCCTGCACTGAAAAATGGCAGTGGGGTGCTTTGAACTAAAGCTCTTTCAATGAGCAGTTCAAAGTGCCCCGCCACCATTTTTCAACATAGGGGACGCTGATACACATGATGCTCAGGTGCTTTTAATTAGTGTGGCTCTCTAATTAAAGCACTGCCCCCCATGCTTTGTGTAAAAATGCCCTTTGAGGCCAAAGCCCTAATCTCCTTGGGACATTTAAAACTTGAGTGGATACAGCACTGTGGAGTGAAATGTAGCAGAGAATTTTGCATTGGCACTTGAGAGACTGAGTATTCATGCTGGCCTCCCCACCTCCATGATGCTATGGTAAGCATTAATTTGATGTGTAGTTTAGAAATTGCCAGTGACTTAAGTGATAAAGTCGAGTGTTGCCCATTCCTATCAAGTGTTAAAACTCATCTGATGTGTGTGCATTTATACCCAGGTTCTGCAAATGGGAATCTGAAGAGAGAAATGTTATGCAACTGAAAGAGAACGAAACACAGCTGCCTATAAACAAGCAAGAAGGGGCAAGTAATAGACTCAGGAATGTGTGCTGTTGACCAGTAATTATACTCCTATACTATTAGATTAGCATGAGAAACTTGGCTGAGATACAGGACTGTTCTAAAAGCTTTATAAACAGAAGGTGTGTCGTGCTTTTTTCATTACAACCAGTTTATTTTATTACATAAATAAAAAAGGCCCCATAAAGTACATCTGCTTTTGTTCAACAGCAAACCACAAGCTGGCAAAGCAAGTTAATGACTCTTTGCACAACAGCCTGGCTAAGCTGAAGTGAAAGGCTTTTAAGTCAAACACCTCTGCGCACACAAATAACAATCATTGGAATCTAATGGCTGCCAGGTGCTCTTCCAGGGCAACTGTATTTCACAGGGAGATGAAGGAATAAGCATATAATATCTATAAAGGGCATGACCCTTCCATTGAAGTCAATGAGAAACCAGATTGCTTAGCATCTCATAGGGTCAGATCCATCAGTTATGAAGCATTTTGAGAAACTTCAACAGCTAGCTGAGCCCTGAGGCACTTCCTCTGGCCAAACCAGAGATTGTAAGAAGTAGAAGTTGTTGTCAGCAGTGGTCATAGTGTCAGGGGTATGACCAAGATGTAGGCAGACAGACTTGATCCTAGAGGTCACAAACCAGGAGATCAGGAACCTAGAAGGTTAGAAAGGAAGGGTCCCAACTCGAGTCAGGGGATCTGGAGCAAGCAGGTCAGGTAGCTGAGGTCTGTAATGGACCAGGATGTGGTCAGTCACCACAACAGTCTCAAGCCAGGGGAAGTCAGGAGGAGGAAGCAGGGATTCAGACCAAAGCCACTGGCCAAGGGGTCCAGAGCAGGCAGCTACAGTTGCAAGGGACAGCAACATAAATGCCATGACCCAGGAGCCACTTGACATAGGACAGAGGTCTGGAACTGGAGTCAGGAGCAAAAGCCTTAGGATTTGGCAAGGTGGTCTGGTGCACAGGGGCCCAAGGTGGAGTGTGGAACAAGGACTCAGCAGGCAGAAACCAGGAAACTAAGTTCAAGGAGTCATATGCCCAAGGTTAGACAAAGAATGATCTGTCCTGTTGAGTAACCTCCTGGACACTGAAAAAGCTGCTGTTTATAAGCCAGCAGTCATGCCTATGCAGGCACTTGGGACTAGCTGGAAGTAGATAGGCTGCTGGCAGCCAGGTCCACCATTTAGCCGGCCTGCTGACCTGACTTCTAATACGTAACAACCAAGTTCCCTGAATTGATTCACCATCATATTGTGCAACTGCTATGGTTCAGAGAACAAAATTTAATACGTTAACCCTATGATAGGAATCTATTTAGAATTTACACTGGGAATCCATAGTTCAGGTTCCCCTTGTACAAGAGATAAAATCTACTAGAGCTGCTTGCTAGAGGGTCTTAACCCTTTAAACTCATGCTGCCACAATTCATGTGTTAGATTAATTCCCCATGATGCTTAATTAATAGTCCCATTCTGAAAAGTACCTTGGACACACTACCTGTGTTTACTCAGGAACTATCTTCCCCTTCAGCTCCATCCACTCCAACTCTGGCTCTGAATCACTGGGGCAACTGAGCTGGTCCCTCTGAGGGATGAAGAGAGAGCAGGAGACCAGAGGTATCTGGACTGGAGTCAGGAGCAAAAGACTTAGGATCCTTCGCTGGATCTGATCTATGAGCTGTCTGCTGGACACCCTTGCCCTACACTGATAGAAGGAGGTACACTATTTCCCATGTCAGTCTCCAAAGATATAAGCTCTACACTATTTCCTCCTGTGCCAATCCCAGATGCACTTAGCAGGATGCTGTTGCACTGCTGACATGTTGACTGGTTATGGGTGTGGTGATGGAAGTGAAACGCTTAATCTCCAAGCACGGTTCAATGCAGATGGAAGTTGGTAGCTGACCAAATTTTGGAAGGCTGCTGGTGAAAGGTCATTTCATCCCTGAGTAGCCTTTTGCTAACAACAAATTGGCACCCTCATCAGCCACTGGTCAGGCATGGCAATAGTGCTTATTGGCAACAGCCAGTGTGGAAAAGCCTATTGTGTGTCAGCTTCTTATTGCAGAATAAAATCTGGGATGAATTACTCTGTAGTGAACATATCAAGTGTCTGTACCTTTAGACTGGCAGGAGAAATGTTAAGTGGTAGAGTGGAATTTCTAAGTTAGTATTTTACCCAGATGTTGGAGTTAATGCCCTGTTTCATAGAAGTGCCACAGGATTGGACACGATCACAAAGGACCCTCTGAGAGTGGTGTCACATTTTATCTGAACAATGGCACTGTACCCCCCAGCAGTACAGCAGAGATGTGTCTAAAAGGAGGAGCACCTCAGCTCTACTTACCAAAGCTCAA